AATGCAGCCCCTGCCTTGGGAAGCACTGCCCCTCCCCCCCGATTCTGGGGCTGTCTGCGCCTTGCGCCCCCTCTCGCCCCGCCACCTAGTGACCCTGCTTTGCTCCTGCCCCTCCCGCGCAGCCCTGAAAGGCGAGGGGCACCCCTACGCCAGCCTGCCGCCGCCCAAGCAGGAGGAGGTGGAGAAGCTGCTGACCAGCTCCCCGGAGGACACCTGGCGGCACCTGGCGGGGGAGCTGGGCTACAAGGAGGATCACATAGACTCCTTCCGGCAGGAGGCGTGCCCCGCCCGCGCCCTGCTCGCCGACTGGGCCAGCAAGGACAGCGCCACCATGGACGCCCTGTTCTCCGCCCTGCGCCGCATCCAGCGGGGGGACATCGTGGAGAGTCTGTACAGCGAGTCGACCGCGACGTCGCCGGTGTGAGGGGGGAGGGGCACCCCCTGCCGCCCCCCGGCGAGAAGTGAAGGAACCGGGGGCCCCCGCCGCGGGGCCCCGCCATGTACGAACAATCCCGTAGGCACCGACCTCGTCTTTCCAGTATTGTCCCGATTGCTACCCGCCTCGCCACGGCCGCCCACGCTCAGCGGGGGGCTGGCAGGGCGGACGGGCCGTGGCCCCTTCAGTCCCAGTGGGGCCGAGGAGCGCGACGGCGTGGGAGTGCCCCACGCGCCCCTCGGGCCCCGCCCCCACGCGCCCCACGGCTTGTCTCCGGTGGCTGAACAACGGCCGCATTTGCGCTCTCAGGTCTCTCTCCCCCCTTTCGTTCTTTGTCTGCCTCGCCCCCCAAGAGCTTCCTCTGCCCCCCCTTCTGTTTGCCCCTTCGCTCCCCCTTTGGATTGCACCTGCCCAGCCAGGCAGGACGACCCGGCTGAGAACGGGCTGCAGCTCGTGACTAACGCTGGACTGAAGATGTTATTGAGTGGGATGGGGGGGCGGAGGGGTATAAATTAGAAGGAGCAAAGGGGGGGGTCTGTTGGTAGAAACACCCATTGTCCCTCTGCTGGGGGGGTTGGCGCGGGCGGGGGGGCTTGGTTTCTAGCAGGCGCAATCTACACTGTGAATTGTGACGTGCCCTGCATGTGCTGCAGAGCGTGGCCCATTCGCCCCCGCGGGACGCGCCATCCCCAGGCCTGGAAGAGTTCGCCTGGGCCAGGAGCAGCCGGGCTGCCTGACGCAGGAAAGCACCAGTCTAGTTACTTAGGGGGAAACCCGGCTTGCCCACCGTGGGGCTCAGCGGTCAACAGGCCCCGCGCTCTCCTGGCGGACGCCCCCTCGTCAGAGCTGCCCGGCGCCGGGTGAGGACCGCAAAGCGCTCACGAGGTGGGACGAAGCCCGTCGAGACCAGTCCTCGCCCATCACGCCGCGGCTGCCGTGCCTCGCCCTTCCTCAAGCCAGACACACCGACGGGGGCCTTCCGGGGGGCGAGCCAGCCAAAGCGTGGAGAGCAGCCTCCGCGGGGAGCCTGGACCGCCCCAGCCGCTCCGTCCCAGGAAGCCGAGTCTTGATTTTACGAACACCTGGGCCGACGGCCGCGCTGCCTCCTCCTCGCCCCGACAGCGCTCGGCTCTTGGCCACACTCCTTGCCGTAGGAGCTGAGGTGCTGGGCACGAGGCTCGGGGGGGAGGGATTTGGACGTGCGCCCTGGGCCCGGCTGCCTTCGCGGCGTTAGCTGCGCCTCTGCCGAACCGGAAAGGCCCCTCGGCGACGCGAAGACCCAGGGAGTCGTGTGGCAGCCGCGGCAACGTCTCTAAAGGCACAAGGGGCGGGGGAGTGTTTTCCACGGGGGGTTCCCCGCGGTGGACGGGGGCTCGGGAGAAAGCTGGGCTGGGCTTCTGCTCTTAGTTCTGCCTGAGCAGGGGGCCTGGCCCTCCCTAGCGGTTCCTCCTTGGAAGAGGATGCTTGAAAGCACCGACTCGGAAGACGGCCACGGCCACCCGCTGCAGGATCCGGGCGCACCAGGGATGTTTTCTAGGCGAGGGGCAGCCCAGGGTCGCTGGCTGGCAGGGGGCCACAAGGCAGGCAAGTGCCCACAGGGCCCCCTTTCTTAGAAGGCTCCAGGGTGACTCGAAGGAACCTCCCGTCCTTCACCGGAAGGGCTCCCGTATCAGCCCCCCGCCAGCAGGAAGCCGAGGGAGCTATGCCCAGTTCCCTGCCCAGTTCCCTCAGCAGACGCCTCCCAGCCCTGCAGCTCCCCCTTGCCCGAGTGGAAGTTTGACCTGAACCCCTCGGACTCCCGCTGTGGCCGGCAGGAGAACGGGAACGACTTTGCAGGAGCCATAATGCGACACCGGACAGTGCTGGGAATCCTGCGTCACTCCAGATGTGGGTGGGAGTGTCCTGCACCGCAGCAGGCCAGTGTCTGCAGACCACGCCACTGCGGGGGGCGGGGGGTCCAGCAGCTACAGACGAGGTGTCCCCCCTCCCCCCTGAGGCGTCAAGGAGGAAGAACTTGTAAGTTACCAAGACCGTGGAGCGAGGAAAATACAAAATGTGAATGTGACTGTAGAACGTGGGACCTCTTGAAATCAGCCCAACTGCAGAGAAAACGTGACTTCAACGTCTGGTCAGACCCGCGAGCGTCAGAAGACGGAGATGGGAGGTCATTCGTGGGTTTGCTTGGGAACGATTTCCCCCTCCCAGGAAAGGTTTCGAGCTATTGAAAAATATTCTCGTCCCAAATTGAGAAGAAAAGTCCAACAGGCAGCGGTTTTTTGCACATTGAAAAATCCAGCAAAAAAAGTTCAGTCCAGGGCCAAACCTTTTATTTCAATCATTCTGAAGCATTTTCTTGTAACGTCGAGCACTTTTAAGGGCTTGTGAGGGGGTGGATACTACAGTTAGCTTAATGGCTATGAGAAAAGTCACTGTAAACTGGACAACTGTGATTTTTCATTTGGAAAATGTCAAAATGAAAGACGAGTTTTGAAACCCGCCCTCCCCGTATGCTGAGTAGAAAACTTTGTCAAAACTTATCTGCAAAAAAGGGGTTTCTGTTTCCAAGACTCAGCCTTTTCCAATGGGCAAAAAAGTTTCTTTGGAACATGGCTGGCCAGCTGTGCTACTGAGCACAAGGAAACATCGGGCTCCCAATGTCTCCGGTTCTACAAGCTGACCCGGCCCTTGCAGATCGCTGTTGGCTGGAAGCTAATGAAGAAATGTCACGGAACTGGGAGGAGACACACTCCCCTCACCCTGCTGCCTTTTACACCTCTGGTCTGGCCGCTTCCTGCCGACCCCGAGACAGCGTGTCCCCAGGAGAGGATGTCTACGGGCTCTGATTCCAACAGGCTCCAGCGGTGCTGACCTTGTCCCTGCAGAGGGAAATCGGAGAGGCAGGCCTCCCTCAGCGGAGGATGGCTGGCCGTGTAGTTATCACCTCACTCCAGAGCTGCGGCGTGCCCCCCGCTCGGCCAGATCCCTTGGTATTGAATGAGGAAGGGGGACCCCGACTGAGAGAACTAAGAATTGTAAATGCCACTGTCCGGTTTGACCCCTGCTAAGTGGATCCCGATGCTGAAATGAAGGAGACCTTGGTTTGCTCCTCGAGGCTTCGGTTCAACGCTGCCTTAGCACGGCGTCGGGGGCGACCCGTTCCCGCACGAACCGTGTTATACTTGGTGCCTTTCAGCCCCTGGGGCCTGCCTGGCGTGGCAACGCTCCGTTTGCCTGTGTCCCTGCGTGGCGGGTTGAGTTCAGGGGTTTTGTGACGATCCCGGCCTGGAGACGAAGGGGAGGGCAATGGGCTTTCGCACACGTTCTCTCCTGGAGGAGGACGTGCTGAGGCGGAAGGCCCTACGTAACTGACCAAAGCAGAGAGATCCAGGGTGGAACCTCGGGCCTTTTTAAAGGGACAGGCTGAAACGTTCCGAGGTGCCCACGGCTGTGAGACGGCTCCCACGCCCCACTGGAAGTCAGTGGAAGTGGAGTACTTGACTCTCGTCGGTGCTTTGGAAAGCGCTGCCCATTATGCTGTAAAGGAAGGGGGGGGGTCTGCTAAGAGTTGGTTTTCTAGAATGGAATTGACAGAAGAGCTCAGCTCCCTTCAAACCTTCCATTACTCTGGGGGTACAAGTCCCGTGAGCTCCCAGAGGGGTGGGCATGTTAGTCTGTGTCTGCAAAACTTGTGGCACCTTAGCCCGGCTCTCCACAAGGGCGTTATTTCGAAATAACCCCCCTGCGGTCGAATGTGTAAGCGGCGCGTCCACACGACCAAGCCCGTTCTTTCAAAAGAAGGGGCTTCTTATTTCGAAATCTGCACTTCTCCTTTCCTCGGGGGAGGACGCTAATTTGAAATAACGACTCCCCAGAGTAATTGGAACTAATCACTCCCCCATGCTCCCTGGGGCTCTGCGTCGGGGCAGAGGGTCCATAGTAATAGAGCCTGCCTCGGAGTGATCTCAAGGCTTCCCGTAGTTGGGACACGCTGTTTCGATTTTGTAAAATCGGGAGTTATTAAGTCACGTTCCGTTATTTCGAAATAATTTCCTAGTGTAGATTTGCCCCTAGGGGTGAGCCAATTTATCAGGGCACAAGCATTTGGTCATTGCCCACAAAAGCTTGTGCCCAAATAAATCGGTTAGTCTCTAACGTGCTGCAGGACTCCTCTGTCCCTTAAAGTGCTTTGGAAAATGCCACCCCCGTGGCCCTAGGAAGACAGGCAATTCAATAGCCTGATTTACGATTCAGGGCTCAGCAGCTCCCTATGAGGTCAGTGTGAGACGAGCACCTCTGAAAATCTGGCCACATAATTGGTTGTCAAAATACGGCTTTAGGAGAGGATCGTTTTGGCCTCTGCTTCTGAAAAGTTTTACCTGTGTAGTGTTATATTTTTTTAAGTTTTAGAAAACTTGATGTGCGTAGAAATGTCCCAGATATATTAAGCAAAAAACCCACCAAAAAAAGACAATGGAAAAAGGAGGGATTCGATCCAAACCTTCCTGCTTTGGTTTTAGAAATGTAAACACAATGGCCAAGGTTTTTAAAAGTCACCAGTGACTTCTGATACTCAAGTGAAGACACCTGGAAAAGGGCTGATTTTCAGAGGGCGGGTGCTGGACATTTTCTGAAAATCAGGCCCCTTTCAGGTATACCCAGTTGCAAAAATCTTGGCCCAATGTGCTGGGCTAATGCATTAGACACAAAACAGGCAGCTTAGCCGTCTAGGTCAAACGGAGAGAAATATCAACAACTGATGAAACAATAAAAAAGTCCAGTTGAGTCAGAGAAATTGTATCTTTCATAATCAATGATGTTATTAGCAACACAGACAAGGGCTTTCAAATGTCACTCGAGACCTTAATGCTCCTTTTTGTATGCGGAAACGGAAGCAGGATGTAAGAGATCAGGGATTCTTCACAGGGACTCAGTGGTGCTTAGATATTGTATGTGAAGTAACAGCTTTAATTTTTGAGTTGCCTTTTATGAGGGGACATTCTAGCTGCAACATACTTGTGTTGTGTGTCAGCCAAAAATGCCTCGCAGAGAACTCTGAAAATGAAATGCAGCCTCGGTTCAGTTCTGTAGGGCTGGTTGAAGGGTTTTGTTTCTTTAAATCATTTTGTTCCCACCAGAGAATTAGGGTTTCATCAAAAATGAAATTTATCACAGGAAGATTTTGTTTTTAATATCATTTTATTTTATTTTTCAAAGGGAAATTTCCGAACACAAATATTCATTTGAGAGGACCATTTGTGTTTCGGTTTTAACAAATTGAAAATTAGCATGAGAAGGGAACATTTTTATTTGAATTGGAATGAAATGAAAATACTCTGCGGGTTTGTTTGTTTTTTAACATTCCCTGCACAAAACATCAGAACAAAACTTTTATCTGAAGATTTTCAACCAGCTCCAGTAGTTTGTGTTGTTTCCGTGTTTTAAGCACGTGGGAAATTGGCATGAAAACCGGATTCTGTTGGGGGTTGGGATGGGGATTTGCAACGTACCCGCGGACAGTCAATGGAGGAATGTCTGTCACCATTGTATCTGATCATCCCCACTCTGTAAGCCAGGACCGTGCTATTCCCATTTTACAGATGGGAAACACAGATCCAGGGAGACTAAATTACTGGTGTAAAATATGAAAGGACGTTTATGGAAGAACTCCAGAGGCCCTTTGCTATGAAGAGCGATTTAGATGTTCCGCTGCCTAAGGAATACTCTGAGTTAATGTTCATCTGCCTTCTTACACAAGAAGTCACCCAGCACCACAAAGAGGGACTCGATTATATTATGTGAACTGTGATGCCTCAAAGCCGACAACAGAAAAGAGGCCTCGTTAATCACAGATCCCCAGATAACTCACGGCCCATAAATCCTGACGAGCCATGGAGGAGAAACACCGAGTTCCTTCCGGGCTGGGTGAAAGGGTTCATTTACAGCCAGGCTCTCATTCACGCTTGTCCCTTGCAAGAGCAGCTTCACATAATGGCCCAGCTGCCTGCCAGAATCCCCGGCAAGCCAGCGAAGGTCGTTTGCAGGGACCCCGGGGGCTCACGGCAGCTGTGCAGGGAGGGCCTGCCCCCCCCCAGAACAAGGGAGGACTCAGGGGTGTTGGGAGCAAGGTGCGGGAAGGAGGAAGGATCCGGCAGGCCTGGCAGCAGGCGGGGGGCGTGGGAGGCTGGGGTCTCCAGGGGAAGAGGGGCGTTAAGTGCACGGGATCAGGAAAGGGCTGGGAAGAGGAGCGGAGTCAGGCCATGGGGGCCGTGGCTCTGTGGCAGGCAGGGGAAGGCAGAGACTGGTTCCATGCAGCGTGGCCGTACCAACGGGCATGGGAGGCCGGGCCCTTTGCTAGGAGGGATTCAGCCAGAGAAGCAGCCTCCATCTCGCCCTCTGCCTGCCCCGGCCCAGGGACCCATGCAGGAGCTGGGGGTGGACACGCCAGGGCAGCCGTGGCTCAGTGGAGGATGACTTCTTAAGCCCTGGGGAGCCCGCCTCCGTGCAAATCTCTCTGTAGACAAGGAGCAACGACCCGTCCCCAGGAAGAGCCGGTTCCCCGAAGCTGCAATGCCAAACCCACCGGCCCAGCCGCCCTGGTGCAAATCCCAGAGATGCCCAACGCCCTGCGTCCTGTCTGCACCCGGACCGTGCACTGGCTTCCTTCAAATCCATTTCAAAACCAACCCCCCGTCCCGCCACGGGGCCTCGCCGAGGCCTGGGCTGCGCTCTGACGTTAAAATCGACTCGGCTACGGCAGCTGCAGCTCCCGCGGCCTAACTCTCCGTGCAGACGGCGGGTCAGTAATCGCCTTCCCTGGGTCTAGCGCCTGCCCCGCGGAGAGGCGGGTTAGAACCCCTCCCCTCGGTACAGGAAGCGCTGCCGCAGAGCCTGTGCTGCCGTGGGGGCTGGCGTGTTGCATTTACCGGAACCACGAAACTGCTACAGATGGGATTGAAGCAGGGGGAGAGTTGGGCTTCGCACCCCTTGAATTAACCCAGTTTCCAGTCCCCTTTTCCTTTAACCGGGTACTACACAGTGTGTGCAGCCGGGAGCAAAACTCACGCTCGTACCTCCCGAGCAGAGTGCTCAGGTCTCAGGTCCTAGCTGCCTTGTGGGAAAAGCCCCTCGGTGCATCCCAAGCAGAAGGGCTCATGCAGCGCAGAGGGTAAGGACGCCTCCCGTTCCTGGTGCGAGTCAAAAATAACGAGGAAAAAATAAGCCAAAGTTAATGATCGTGGAGATTTTTTGTTGCGTTTTATAATGTTTTGTTGTACAAAGACAGCACGTTCCTCTTGTTACTACCTGTTGTTATCCCTCGGGTTTCTCTGTGAGACGAGAAATGCCGATCGATTACAAATTCTGACTGAATAAATATTCCTGTATCAGAAACAGCCGATTAGTCCCTGGCTTTTGCCGGGCTCAGTGTCAGCGGCATGCCGGGGAGTTCGGGTGGCTGGCTGACGTGGTTGTGTCAGCATCAACAGGTTGTGTTTGTATGTCCGTGAATGAACTTGTGCTTGTGTGGGCCATTATCTGTGTGTAATTTTCAGCCATGAATAAACAGCATACAGCGCTGATGTGTCTTGGCTGCATTTTGTGTGAGATTGTTTTGCCTTTGTTGACACGTGATCTTGTAATAGTGTTTGTCAGCACACACGTGTGAGGGCACTGGTGGGTCATACAACGTGTGTGTGCAGGCTTGTGTCCACATGTGTGTGTCACACTAGAACTTGGGACTGGGAGTATGTGCCTGCTGGTGTTATTGCTTGGCCTGTGATCTGCACTCCTGTAAGCTGGGCGCTTGTGCAGCCACTCAGGAGCGATTCAGATGCTGCCCAGCTGAGCAGCAGAGCACCCACAGCTCAGTTTTGTTGCTTCTACCAGTGGTGCACATGCCCTGGTGCACATAAAAAAATATTCCACACACGGATGGAAAAAAAATCGCCCATGGATGGAAACGATTAGAGGCAACACTGACAGTCATGAGGCTTTTCAGGCTTCGTGAACTGGGAGCACCTGGATTCTAATGGCGATTTTACCTCCAAATTTACTCTGCCAAGTTGCCTTGGCAGTCTGTGCCTCAGTGTCCCTGCTAAGGTGATGATGGTGCTCTTGGGCTAAATTAGTTAAAGGTGGCCCTCCAATGATTTTAAGTAGTGGGAACTGTGCTCTTTCCCCATGTTTAATAGAAGAAAGGGGGATTTAAGTGAGTCTTTGAAGGAGGCCCATTTGTTTTTCTTCCTCCCTCCCTCCGCTTGATTTTTAACCTTAAAAATATCAGAAGAATAAATTCTGGTCTTTGTTGTTTGGAGAGAGGCTGTCCTGGGAGCGTCAGCTGTGTCCTGGGGTCCCACCCTCAATAAAAGCCGCAGGGCGGAGGAATCTTTAACGCAGACTTTTCTCTCTGGGGCTCATCGGACAGAGTCTGAGCAGCCTCAGCAGCTGAGCAAAGATCCCTCCCCCCAGGTCGTTTCACGAGGGAGCCGGGCCCCATAGGCCGCTGCTGTGACCCGGGTTTCTAAGGCTTTTCCAAAGGGCCCGGCTCCCAGAAGTCTTGAAGCGCTGGGGGGTGCGTGGGCTGGGCTCTCCATTTCCTGTGCCCCGACTCAAAAGGTGAAGATCCCAACGGCAAAGGTCCAAGGGGGGCTCACAGCAGCCCCACATCCAGCATCTCTTCCCCAGATGCAGAGCCCTGAGTGGGGGAGAGGGGGGACTCAGCAAGGTGGCCTTCAAGCGTGGGAACGGCTGGGTAACCTGCCCCCCATTCCGCTAGGAAACAAACCCAATTTATGGCTATTGCAGGAGGAAAAATATTAGCACTCAGGCCTGGAAAGGAGCCAGAGGCTCGCCGTGCAGTGGTGACGGGCTGGGGAAGCGGGCCGGACAACTTCCTTTCTGCTGTTTACTGCTCCCCGAAGAGCGAGACGCGGGCCCCCGGCTCTGCCGCACATGTGCTGTAATGAGCCCCAGCGTCAGGCGACTGATGGCCCCTTAACTGACGCGAGGAAAAATATTAGCACTCAGGCCTGGAAAGGAGCCAGAGGCTCGCCGTGCAGTGGTGACGGGCTGGGGAAGCGGGCCGGACAACTTCCTTTCTGCTGTTTACTGCTCCCCGAAGAGCGAGACGCGGGCCCCCGGCTCTGCCGCACATGTGCTGTAATGAGCCCCAGCGTCAGGCGACTGATGGCCCCTTAACTGACGCTGTTATTCGCTGATCAGCCCCCCCTTGCCTCAAACAAATCGCCACCAGACCCCTCCCCCCACTCTCTTGAGACCCCCCCATGTTCCACCCCCCAGCTCGGAATTCCAGGCTACAAATGAGATCTGATTTCTGTCGGCGATTCCGCCCCCTCCCCCCCCTCTCTTGAGACCCCCCCATGTGCCACCCCCCAGCTCGGAATTCCAGGCTACAAATGAGATCTGATTTCTGTCGGCGATTCCTGGTGGCCAGTGCCCGCCTGCACCCCTACATCACGTGGTCTGCCCCTGCACCCCGCTGCTAAACGCTGTGTCCCCAGCCTCTCCCACTCATGCGCCAGATCCCTCCTACCGGACAAACCTCTCTCATCCAGCACCCTTGGGCCCTGCCCGGCACCGAACCAGAGAATTTGCCCGACCGCCCGCACGGCCATGGCTCGCTGGACTCCTAGAAAACGTGAGGGTCAATTAGAGCTGAACAACAGCACAGACCCTTGAGAGCCAGGCCGGGGGGCTGTAAACAAACTTGATGGGACTGAAGGAAATTTGGCCCCTGCTAAGTGGGCATTTGGCTCAGTAACACCCTGCCGGACCACGGATGTTGCTGGACCAGAGAGTGCTGGGTTGGAGAGGTTCAGTCGGTGCCACCTGCCCCCACCAGCGCAAACCCCACAGCCCGGCGTTGTCACTGTCCCAGCTCCCCTTTGATTTCACGAGGCCAGGATGCCACCTCTTCGCTGCTTTGTCCTTGGTCATGCCCCTTAAGTCTACTCATGGCACCAACCCCCTGCGTTGCCATCGGCACCCACACTATTGGCCAAGTCCCTGTGCCCAGTGCCGCCCCCGCACCAGAAGCAAAGGTCACAGCCTACGCCCAGCGGCACAGCGGGGAGGGGACGGCAGCAGGGTGACTGGGCCCCCCAAGAACATAGCAGACAGTCTAGACCGTTAGTGGATGGCTGGCCTGGGAGTCGAGAGACCTGGGTCTAATTCCCAGCTCAGCTACTGACTCCCCAGTGACACTGGGCACCTCACTTAGCCCACTCTGGGCCTACAAGTCTCTACGGGGGGGGGGCTGCTTGGAGAATTAGACTCCATTGCTGAGGGGGCGCAGGCAGGCGGGTGATGAGGGCTAATTACCTCTGCAGCCTTAGCCAGGGGCAGGGGCAGGGGAAGGAGGGGCCCTGACCCGGGCAAGCCCCACGCATGTTGCTTCTGTGAAACCTTCAGCCCCAAATGTCCGGGCGCCGGGGTCAGGCCCGAAGCGCCATTTCCAACGAGCTGCCTGGAAAGGGCGATGCGGGTTCCTGCGCCTTAAGGCGGACGCGGGCCCTTGGCCAGGCGTGAGGGCTGGACACTGGCCGCGGGGGTGTCTCGAACCCAGCGGGGCTCCCAGAGCCCGGGCCCGCGGTGAGGCAGGCGGACGAGGCGGCTTCGGGACCTCTGGCCAAGGCGCAGCGCGCCCGCACCCCCGGCTCTCGCCGCAGCGTCTGGCCCGGTCCCTGGCCCTTTGGCGCTGGCCGGGCCGCGCCCGCCCCCCTGGTCGCCCAAGGCCACGCCCCTGTGGCCGGAGGGGCGCGGGGGGCAGAGGCTGGGGCAGAGCAGCCCCCCTCCTCCCCGCCCCGGGTGCAATCTGCCTGCCAGATGCGCAGCAGCGCGCGCGTTCCCAGAGCGCAAAGCCGGGCGCGCCCCGTGCCAAGTGCGAGCCCCCCGGGCCCAGGAAACCCAGGGGCGGGGGGACCAGCAGGGAGAGAGCGGCCCGCTCCCTCCTCTCACCCTCCGGCCGCCCGCTGGAAGCTGGAGAAGGGGTGGCCAGGAACTCCCCGGGCAAAACCCGCCGGGCCTGACGCTGTTCCGGGAGCTCAGGGCTCCACGGTGAGGGGCCCCGGCCACCTCGCTCTGCCGGTGCACAATGGGCCTAGCAGGCCGGCTGGCATTGCCGCCCCTCCCCCCCAACAGTCTCTGCATCCCCCCCAGGGCTTGCACCCCGCTTCCCTGGCCAAACCGGCCCGGGTTCCCTTTGCTCTTGCCCAGAGATGAGACGAGAGCGATTGGGACAAACGCCCAGTTTGGCCAAGGGCTGCCAGGCCAGCCGGGCAGGGCCGGAGAAAGAGGCTGTAGCATGCGGCCGAGTGCACGTCCCTTTCCATGGGGCACTGGGTGGGTCTCTTGGGGGTCCAGCCCCTCCCACCGTGCGAGAGGGAGAGGACAGAGCTCTGAGGGCGCATCCCCCACCTCTCCCCACACTCCCCCCTTTGGGCGGGCGCTGGCTCCGGGGCTGGGTTTTACCCTGGCACCTCTGGCCAGCACAGCTGCAGGACACGGGCACAGAGTGCGCGAAGGCTGCAGCGGGTGCAGTAAGGGGAGGCGAAGGTGATGGACAACACGGTGTGAGCAGATCTCTGGAGCGGAGCAGGGGAGGGAGGCGGCAGGGCCATGCAAGGCCTGCAGGGAAAATGAACAGACCCCGTGCAAAAGGGCAAAGTGCAACCTGTGTGCGCCTTGCCTGGGCGAGCTGGTCTGCGCTAACACTCGGGCAGCTCGGCCAAGGACCAGGGCTGCCTCGTGCGAGGCACGTACAGACCCGACAGGGAGACGATTAATCCCTGCCCCCGAGCGCCAAACCCCGCCATTGGCGCTGTAGATCTCACAGCCAAAGCAATCCCACACAGCCCGGCCTGGGAGGGAGCAGCGTATATCACGTTAGAAGCAGAGAGCCCCAAGGCCTGGCAGAGAGTGGGTAAAACTCACCCCAGATGTGCGCCCTGCCCCTCGGTCAGGTTCAGGTTACTTCTGTGTAGGGAGGTGGAAATAACTGAATTTTGGGGGTCACAGGCAAGTCAAAAAATACAAATAAAAAATTAGCATCTGCCTGACCCCAAACAAATCGTTTTCTTACATCTTCAGCAAACGGAGTAAGCTGGAAAGGCATCGGACCAGGCGGAACAAAACCATTCCCTTTGCACGTCAAACTTTTCTTTAAAAAAAGAAATGAAATAAAATGGAAGGAAATTTCCAAACTAAAAGGGGAACCATTTTTTGGGGTGGGTTTGGTTTTTTGAAACAAGACATAAGAACGGCCGTACTGGGTCAGACCAAAGGTCCATCTAGCCCAGGAGCCTGTCTGCTGACAGTGGACAAGTCAGCCAAGCGGACACGGATTCGCACCGTGTTTCGGTGTCACCGACTCGGGCGCTTTGCACTGCAGAAATTGTGGGGACGGGCTGTTTCCCCTCCGTGTGGGGTGGGTTTGGTTTTTTGAAACAAGACATAAGAACGGCCGTACTGGGTCAGACCAAAGGTCCATCTAGCCCAGGAGCCTGTCTGCTGACAGTGGACAAGTCAGCCAAGCGGACACGGATTCGCACCGTGTTTCG